GCAGAGGGTACTTTTGCAGCGTAGTCCCAGGAACCTTTAATTCTCCCAAATTTAAAACTATTCAGTATTAAAAATTTGCCCTGATTTGTGCTCCTGAGATCCCAACTGAGGGTTTTGTGTGAAGCTGTCTCAAGTCAAACGCCCGACCTCTGTGGGTGTTGTCCCTGAGCACCCACCTCACCCAGTCGTACCGAACGGCCAGACCCTCCTGTGGTGTCTGAGCACCGCTTTCAAATGTTTTTACCACTTTCAGGAGGAAAACCCTTTCAAAAGTTCACAGTGGTTCAAACCAGAGCATGTCGGTGTTGTGGCAGGAGTGGGACAGAGCCACCTTGCAGATCTTTACGTTTCCCTTTCCTTCTATTTCAACCCCTCTCGTGTTGCTGCTGTAGGAGCTGACGCAAGGGAAGCGTTCGGGTCCAGGGGAGGCTGCACCGAGCGCCAAGGCCAGCGCAGAAAAACCCCAGGAGGAGCTGGACGCCTCCGAAGCAGAACGGGACTGGGGCTGCAGTGATGTGAAGCCCACAGCCCAGCTGCAAAGTGAGAAAGAAGTGAGCTCCGCGGGTGAAGGCGATGCAGCAAGCCCCCAAAATCTCAGGACCGATGCCACTGAAGAGGGGTGCAGTGCCCCAGCAGAGAGCGAGGGCTGGCAGAACGACAGCAACCCGCGCTCTGTCCTGGAGGCAGAGTCCCTCGAAGCCTTCCTGGGTAAGAGATGGGAGCAGAGGCACAGTGTGCGCTCTCCTGCGTGGTCTGAGTGACCTGGGGTTGAGCACAGGAGGTCCTTGCAGAACCAAACCCTTGAGAATATCTTGGAGAGGTTATAACGGCTCAGTGCGGCAGAGACAGCGCGTGCAGTCTGAATCTTTGTTGTAATAGTAGGTTGTTGTTCTCTTTTTTTTGGCAGAAATTCCCCTGGAGGACATAAAGGAGCTTCCTCGAACACGATCTGAGCTCCAGGCCTACAGAAATCACTTGGTCATGGAGCTGCTGTGGTTGCAACAAGCCATCACCAGCCGTAAAAACGTAAGGGCCTGAGCCCACCTCTTCCAAGGGGTGAGAGCGGTGCCTGCCTGCAGCCAGGGCCACGCCGCCTGCGGTGGGACTGGGGTTGAACCGTGATGGCTCAGGTACCCCAGGACTGGATCAGGTGCTGGCAGTGCCCTTTCTGTTCCTTCTCTGGGGTCAAATATAAAGGGATGATGAAGGGAAACAGGAGCTCTGGTTAGGGGCTTTGCTCCTGGCCTGCTCAAGGGACATTGCTGCTTTGGTAACCATCGTGTCTGCACAGCGCGTGGGGGGTGTGACGGTGCAGTGATTTTGCTGGCTGATCTGCAAGGGTGGGTGCTTTCCTACTTGTCGGTCTCTGGGGTTGAATCATTAACACTTGGTTTCCTTTCTTTTGCAGTACTTGATGCTGAAACAGAGGCTGGGGACTCCTGACCCATAGGAGGGCATTCCCGAGCACATGGGGCACCGTTTTGGTGTGGAGCAGCCGTGGAGCTGCAGCACCGCAGTCGTGACGTGACCTCACGGACAGCAGCGGCTTGGGGGAGCTCCAGCTCTGGGGGTTGACGTTTTCCACTTCAGACAAACGTGGCGAGAAAGCCTTTTCTTTCTTTTCAATGCAAACATTTGGTCAAAGCAGGGATTAAACATCACTGTGAAGCCAGGGAGGTTGTTGTGCGTCCTGGAGGGAGTCCCAGTGAGGCCGCCTTCCACAAGGGCCCCGTTTCTGTTGGCTGAGGGTCCTCGGGGAGGCTGGGAAGGCTGCCACGTACAGAAGGTGCTTTCTGACCGGCCGGTTGCTGCGCTGGAACTGAAATGCCTGAGGGCAGGAGCTGCTCTGAACCTTCAGCTCCAGCTCTGCTCCACTGAGCTGTGTGTGACCCGTGTCTGTGCTGTGTGTGTGGGAGGGCTCTGCACGTCACGGCTCTGCAGTGCCTGGGATCTTCAAGCGCTCGTGGGGAACACCTCGTTGAAGTATTAGGTTTGGAGGAGAGTTCCCTGACTTCCCTGTGCAGCTGATGGGAGCAGTGACCTTTGGGAGATGAGGTTTGGTTCCCGACCTGCGCATCTCTGGCTGTGGTGATACCTGTGGCAGAGTCACCAGGACTGCAGCTTGAGGAGCGAGTAAGGACTCCTGGGGTTTGGTGCTTTCTAGTTCAGGGCATTTGAGGTCCCTCAGAAAGGGACTTTCTATGTGGTGCTGTGGTTCCCCAGTAGATTCCCCACTGTGAACCTGACTCTTGTTCCTGCCGACTGAACGCTCTCTCTTGCCATGTGGCAGATGGATCCGTCTGTTCCTGATGATGCCAAATTTTTTAATCAATAAAAAGCTTTCCTGAAGCTCAGCTCTGAACCTCTCTCTTCCTGCCTGGCTTCTCCTGGGCAGAACCAAGTGAGTCCATGGCCTTCTTGGACCCATGGCAACCTGTTCAGTGCAAAGGGAGCATGTCTGCTGGCACGGGGCTGTTTGTCCAGTACACACAGGACAGAAACCCCTGGCTGTTCTCATGCAGGGAGCAAGCGATGGCGTGGAGGGGGTGACAGCTTCTGGAAGGGGCTGCTCTGGATGGGATGGGGGCTGCTGCAATAAAGACACTGGCACTTGCTGTACCTCCAGGCTGGGTAATCTGGGCCTGGTGGCCACGGTGGCTGGTGAGGGAGCTCACAGTGCTTGGCTTTTGAGGATCAAAGAGCTGCGTGGTTCCTGTTTCTCAGTTAGAAAGGTGCTCAGCAGGTTGGTTGATGGCTCACAGCTTCCTCCTGCTGGGGCTGTGTCCATGGAGACAGGCAGCCACGCCAGGCTGCGCTGGGAAGGGACGGCGAAGGCGGCTGTTTGGGAGGGTTTAGGCTTGGCCAGAGCTCTCCTCTGCTCCCCACGTCTGTCTGTTCACCTCTGCGGTCAGTGGGGCTGCTCAACCCCTGGAGGATGAGCTCCCGTGGCTTAGCTCTGGCTCCTCCAGCCAAAAACGTGGTGGTGTATCGCAACGGCGACCCCTTCTTTCCCGGGAGGAAGTTTGTAGTGAACCAGCGGCGGTTCCTGACCTTCGAGGCGTTTCTGAATGAGGTGACCAAGAACATCCGTGCCCCCTTGGCTGTGAGGAACCTCTACACGCCCAGGCACGGCCGCCGCGTGGCTGAGCTGGGCGAGCTGCAGGACGGGTGCCAGTACGTGGCCGCGGGCTTCGAAAAGTTCAAAAAGCTCAAGTGAGTAAACGCACGTTTGGCATCTGGGTTTGGTGAGCAGCTCCACATCACCTCTGTATTGGGATGTGATCGGAGAAAACAGATAAGGGGTAGAAACCAAACAAAAACCAGATGGATCAATACATTTTTCCTACTGAATATATATCCAGATAGCATGGAAAATGCAAATATTCCTGATAAGGTTATGTGACTCTCAGAGGAAAACGTGGGAGGAGGTGTGTGCTCTCCAGGGTGTTGTGCTCGGTGCTGCTCTGCCCCCCTTGCACCTCGTTTTGTGGCGTGAGGAGGCTCTGCCGCCCGCTTCCTTGGCAGAGCTGGCAGTCACGTCGCATCTCCGTGCCACTTTTGCTTTGGTTTGATGAAGGATTTTTGTTTTCTAATCCTCAAAGGAGAGCTCTTCTGGTTCATCCTGAAATACAGAGGGTTAAAGGAGTTTTTGTGGCATCGCTTGACTCTTGAAGGGATGTGTGTGTGTGTGTGTGTGTGCCAGGTGAATTTGGCTCCTCGGTGTGGGAGGTGGTCCAGGCTGCATTAACACCGGTCAGCCCTTGGAGCCTTGAGCAGTGAATAACACCAAGGAATAAAATCTTCTGGGTGTCTTTAGCAGGGATCTGAAATGGTCTCTATTTGGCTGGGAATTTCTTAAATGTAGCAGACTTTAACTGAGGCTGAAGCTGTGGGAGAGCAGGGGTTGAAGCACCTGGAGAATGGTTTCAGAAATGACCCAAATGAATGACCCCACACCTGGATGCTCCAGGGCAGAGCAGTCGGTTGTTTCCTCACTGCTCTTTAGTCAGCCGTGCCCAGTTGGTACGGGGCAGTGTCTGTCTTGTTTTCACAGCTATTTACACCGTGGAAGGAAGGGGCTCCGTGGGACGAGGAACAGTGAGGGTCTGCAGGTGAGTCCCTGAGCTGAGCGACGTTGGGGCTGGCGCTGGTGAAACCCAAGTTGAGATTTAAGACTGCGAGGTGCCCAGGATCAGGCAAAAGTGTCCCAAGAATCAGGAGGAGGTGAGACAGCGCAGGGGGGTGCTGCTGTGTGCCTTCATCCCCCTTAGCGGTGCAGGGGAAAGCTCTGTGCTCGGGTTCGCTGCAATTGTGGAACGTGCTCAGCTACGTGAAGAGCTTCCCCAGCCCTGGTGTTGCTGACAACAAACCCCGCGTAGCAGCAGTGAGGGCAGGGCCTGGGTGTGCAGGGCAGGCAGCTCCCCGTGGAGGAAAGGGAAGCTCTGTGGCAGGGCTGTGGCTGTTCTCCTGCACTGACCTCGCTCTCCAGTTCCGCACCCCAGCTCCCCGGCAGTCGAACGCCTTGGCGCGATGGCAGAAGCCCGCCCAGCTGCCCCGCACCATCCAGTAAGTGCTTTCTCCTTGGAGGGTCTCTGGGAATCTTTTCGGAGGCTGGAGGAGGGAATTTCTCTGTGAGATCCTGAGAATGCTCCCCCCACAGGGCCAATTCCCAGCCTCTACCAGAAGTACCTGTTGTAAATGTTGTCCCAGCACACCAGTGTCTGGCTTTTACATCCCGTCTTCCACAGCTGCAGGAATAATTCTGTGCTCTGGGTTGTTTCTCCTGCAGCGTTTTCCGCAACGGGGATTTGCTGAGCCCTCCTTTCCAACTGCTGCTCCCCAGGAGCACCCCGCTGCAGTGGGAAGCACTCCTGGCCAGGCTGTCGGAGAAAGCCAACCTGCGCAGCGGAGCCGTTAACAAGTGGGTGTCCAGATAAGGCCCTGCTGGTTCACCTTCCCTTACATCCAGGACTCAGGCAGCTCTGATTAGCACAGGGGACTGGGAGTTCAGACTTCCAGTCTGCTTTTGCAAAACCCATTTGCTTTTCAGGTTTTCCCATCTTTAAATCAGAGAAAACCCCCACATCCTGGGTGCTCTGTGAGGAAGGCTGATGTCTGGTGAAAAAGCAATAAGCAAACAGTAAAGCACAGCATAAAAAGGGAGTATTTTTGTCCGGAGGGAGAGGCTTTTCCCCAACAAATAAATACAGCCTACCTCCTCCTCCACCTATTTACTGACACCCTAGGAGAAAGCTGAGATCTACTGCATCTTGCTGATGTCTGGATGTAATATTTCTGCTTACTTCCTCGGAGTAATACTACAAATAACTGATCCTCTGTCCTTGCCTTGGTCCAGTTTACCACCTTGCACTTATTCAACTGTTTCCATGCTGAGGGGTTGTGCAGGGTCTGAAGCCTTTGCTGTCTCTCTTCCTCCAGGCTCTGCAGGCTGGACGGGACCCAGGTGTCTGGTGCAGAGCAGCTGGTGGATGGCGACTTCTGTGTGGCAGTGGGAAATGAAGGGTACAAAAAACTGCCTTACTTCGAGCTGCTGGTGCCCCAGGATTCTGTGTGCAGGATGCTGTGGTACGTAGACTGTGGCTGAGTGGTTTAAAGAATCCCCTCCGTGGTGATCGTCAGCTACAGCCATCCTTTCTGCAGCCCTCCTGTTCAGTGCTTCAGGGCTTGGAAGTTTAGGAAGAAATAATGTGTTTTCAGAGCTTTTGGTGTAAGGGTTGGCCCCTGAGTTCAGCCCCAGAGAAAGCCAGTGGTGTGGTTGTTTCTCTGTCAAGTGTTCATCAAGCAGAGAGCAGCAGCTCCCCATTAGGTTGGGCGTTGAACTTGAGGACTGCGCTCTACCTGCGCTGAGGAAAATAAAACACCTCCAGGGGCCCTCTTTTATGGGAAACGGGGAGATGGTGTCCTCTAGAGCTGACTTCTGCCTGATGCTGAGAATCTGCAGCTGTTTTGTTACAGGAACCACCCAAAGAGCAAGCACAAAACGCACGGCAGGAGGGTAGGTGGCTCAGCTGGTGCTGGAGTGTGCAACGATGGCGGTTGCTGTTGTGCAGGCACCTCTCCGTCCGGCTACAACATCCTTGTGTGGCATCATTTCCAATGCAGAACAGCTTGAGACAGCAACGTGGCCAGATCCCACTTGTATTAAATCTCCCTGCCTAAAGGTGGCCTCGCTTACCCCTTCTTTTTGGCTGATGGGCTGGGAGAATTCATTCTGGAGCGAGGGTCTCTTTCCTGCTCTCTGTGTGGGTAAAATGCCCAGTAGAGAGTACAGACAGAGCAGCTGGGGTTGTCTAAATGTATCTGTGCTGCCTGTGCTATCTCCTTTTAAAATATCCTTTTCATTTTATTATTTTGTTTTCAGTTTGGGAAACTCAATGCCACCTCCCAGGACAGAGCCGGTGACCCTGCTCGTGCTGAACCACCTCAACAGGTAGCAGTGACTGCAAAAGGTGTTCTGTGTGCTCCCTGTATCTGCTTCACTTGTAATATCAACTTCAAACCCCAGAGAATGCAATGCTATAGCTCCATACCAGTCAGAATCAAGGGTCACAGGGGAAAGTTGCAGTCTTTAGAGTAGATTACCCTGCAAATCTTCTCTTGCTTTATAAACTGCTTTATCAAGAAGGCCTGGCAGAAGTGCGTGGTGGATACTTTCAGCTGGACAGTCGCAGGGTGCAGACCACAGGAGCTGCAGAGAAAGAGAAGATCCCAGCTGCTTTTCCACAGGTTCAAGCCAGGAAATCTCGCCCCAAAGAGGAAGAGCCCATTTTCCACACTAAACCTGTCCGTGCAGGACAAAACAGAAGGAGCAACCGGAGCGTGCAGCAAGGTAAAGGACCCGGCTGTAAGTGTGGAGGACAACTGTGATGCTAAAGGACAAAATAGCTGCTGAAAACAAGCAGTGATACATCCAGTAACTTCTATATTTCTGCTGCTTTTCTCTCCTTGTCTGGGCACATGTGAGGACCTTTCTGTAGCTCAGCAAGACCAGGCCATGGCTGTCTGCAATACCCACTGGACCCCCTTTTTTCTTCTCCTTGCAGAAGAACGTGTCTATAAAACCAGAGATCCTCAGAGGGAGATAAGAGGTGCCCGGGAAGTAAAAGAGGATGAATACACAAGGGTGGATGTACCCACTGAGCAGGTCTGAGAAATTCTTTTCTGCTCTGTTAGGAGTCTCACTGCTGCAGGGAAAGACTCGTGGTCCTGCTAGAATCTCTTGGTGCTGCAGGTTTTGCACAGCAGGAGCAAGCTGTTCAGATCCAGCCTGTGAGAACACATCAATCCATAGTTTACAGCCATTGCTCGGGGAAGTCCTTTAGTTTTCTCACTTAAGTCCTGCTTGTGAGGTTTATGCAGCGCTGAGCTTCTCTCCACGAAGTGTAAAGGTGAAAGTAACCACCAGAGGGAACACCAGAGACACAGGACGGTGCGTAACAGGGCTTTGCACTTTAGAAAGCCCAGAGATTGCCATCAGGGTAATGAACATTTCCCTTCTGGAATGTGGGAGTTGCAGCTTCCCACTGCAGCCAGGAGATCAAAGGCTTTCCTGGATTATTTTGTGTGTGTGTGTACTTCTGTCCTTACTCCTGTTCCACAGTTATACCAAAAGCCGAAATGGTACCACAGTAAGGGAGTTATTGCACTTAATGGTTCTACAAAGTGTCTAAGATCCACCCTGGCTGTGTTCAGGCTTTTTATACTAAAATTCAGTACCCCTAAATATAATCTGTAAAGCAGAACTTGCCTGTAGTCAGGTGAAGCTTAGAAGCTGGCACAGAATAAGCGTAATTCTAACAATGTCTGAACACATTTATTAGATAGTAGTAAGTCTAAATAATTTTTTTAAAGGGAAATACAAAGTAGTTCTTAAGAAACCCCCCTGTGTGTTAAAAATATCTGCAAGATGCTTATTGTTCACAGGTTAAACTTTTCAGAAGGACATTCAGAGGTGATGTAATGGGATGAAAGTGTTTTATCATAGGTGATTCACAGTTCTGCCTAGGCCATCTCTTTGGGTTAATTAGAACTTCAAAGGAAAACAACTCCTTTGAACTTAAAAGTAAAGAAGCAGCTGATGGTTCCTGCCTTCTGGGCTCAATGGGGAGCCTGGTGTCCTGTGCTTGCTTTAGAGGCTGGGCTGGTGTTTCTCACTGGGGCGGGCACTCTGATGCCTCTGATTTCTGTTGGCCTCATTATCTGAGTGTCACAGCTCCCCTCTGCAGTGGGAGACATCATTAGGCATTAAATAAACTACATTTGAATTTAATGTAGAGACCCAAGTTTGCTTACCAAAGCCATCGTAAGACTGGAAATGGAATCCAGGAATTTAGTCCCAGTCATTCTGTGATAGCAAAGCACTACATTAATAACTGTGTTTCTTTCTCGCCACAAAAAAGGCACCGACTGCAGAGAAAGCCCAAAAAACTGTGGCGAGGACAAGGGATGCCAGTGACTCTGAGGACGAAAAGTACTGAACGGTGTTTCCTGTGCTCTGCAGAGTTCACCAAGGGGCCATGATGGGAGAGGGACAGTCAGATACACAGCTGTCTGCAGCTGCAGATAACAAAACCACGTGAATCCTGGACCTCTATCCCCAAAACACATCTTGTTTCCATTAACTCGGCCTAGGAGCATCTGCCTGATTTAGGAAAAGTCATAGTAATAAACAGCTCTCGTATTAACCCTCTCTGTGCAAGGCTTTCTCTGTTTCCCTCGCTACTGCTCCTGATTAATTACAAGGGTGACAAAGATTTTTCCCTGTCTGATCTACCTGGTATTTGGGACTGATAATTTCACTGCAAACACCTCTCCTTCCCTAGGGCTGAACTGCACTGTTGTTATTTTACAGCTGAGAGGCAGTCTGCGAAACTCCAGAGCAGAAAAGCCCTGTGGTGAGCTCAGTGTGAGGGGCTGTGCAGCGTGACCTGGTACCTTGCAGCTCAGCAGAGTGAAGGAAGCCCCTTCCATGTGGGGAGTTCCTAAATCGATTCCTTCTACAGAAAAACCAGTTGGTCCCAGAAGCTCCCACTGAATTATTTATTAACCATTTATTATCCCTCCACTAGCAAACAAGACAATTCGGTCATCCTTGCCTTGAAACACCCACAGACCCCGATGCCCAAGGAACACAGTTCATGTTTTCAGGTTTTTTTGACATCCATGTGTCAAAATGCAGCTTCCTCAGTCCAGCTGAGCCAAGCGGTTTGCTGCTGTGCCCAAAGCCCCTGCTTCAGCCACAGGGGTTACCTTGAACAGGTTCTTTTCCTCTGCTTCTCACTGCATCTTGTTCATGACCCAGCTACGCAGAGTGTGACTCCC